CCTGCTGAATTAGAAAATAGGGACTACTCAATCTCCATTGGAGAAGGGTGTGCTGAACTCTATCCCTGGAGTTAGCCCTGGGAGGCCCAGTGCATGAACAGGTGCAGATGCCTCCTGACTTCAGCCTGTAAGATTTTAATAGATGAGTATTTTGGTTTAAAGATTGAGTGTCTCAGTTCAACAATTAGAGGATTCCCAGACTCTGTTGGGAGTGAAGGTAAGAGGAAAACAGCCATATGAATCTTAACTCTGCTATCAGCCCTGGGAAGTCTTGGGCTGAACTGCTACTTGAAATGACTTCTCATTTCCTGAAGCGAGGTGGTGCATTAGAGAGGTGAATTCTGTGCACTGATTAGTGAGGCCCTATTCATCAGAGGGGAGCAATTTAGTCCCAAACAGGGGTCAAGGTGAGAACCCCAAGTGAGATGAGGGAATTCCTCCCCAAAAAGAAAGGGGACCCATGGAACTCCACCACCCACTATAATCTTGGAGACCCAAGCACAGTGACATGGTAAATTGCACTCCTTTCCTCCCAGGGCATTTTATGAAGGTGAAGACACTTGCACAGGAGCTGACTTAAAGCCAAGGTGGGTTCAGATAGACTCACACCCTCTCTCCCTCCCCTTCCAGGTGCCTGTGTCCTGTACTCTCTTGCCACAGTCTTGCCTGCTGCCCTGTGCACAATCATCATGGACATGCATAATCAACAGCACCAGACTCAAAGTGAGGACCAAGATGTCAGTAGTGCTCAAGTAACTACAGCAGAGGTAGAGTCTCTATTCTCCTCCTCTACTGTTTCTGAGGGTGCTTCTCAGAGCTCCCCTGCAGCAGGCATTTCCCAAGAGTGTCAGGGAGCCCAATCCACCAGCATTCCTATTGCAACTATTTCATGCACAAGTTCTAATGAAGATGCCAAGAGCCAAGGGGAGGAAGGTCAAAGCTCCTCTTGTGCTCTGCCCTCCTCTGAGAGCTCAGGAAGAGATCCTCTGGTCAGGAAGGAGGGCTTGTTGCTGCAGTTTCTGCTGCACAAGTATAAAATGAAAGAGCCCATTCTGAAGGCAGACATGCTGAAGATTGTCAACAGGAAGTATAAGGAGCACTTTCCTGAAATCCTCCGGAGAACCACTAAGCGCATGGAGCTGGTCTTTGGTCTTGACCTCAAAGAAGTCAATCCCAATGGTCACTCCTACACTCTTGTCAGCAAACTAGACCTTCCCAATGATGGAAGTCTGAGCAACAGCCAGGGCTTACCTAAGAATCGGCTTCTGATGCCTCTCCTGGGTGTTATCTTTGTGAATGGCAACCGCGCCACTGAAGAGGAGATGTGGGAATTCCTGAATGTGTTGGGGTTACATGATGGTAAGAGGCACTTCATCTTTGGGGAGCCCAGGAAGTTCATCACCCAAGATTTTGTGCGGGAAAAGTACCTTGAGTACCAGCAGCTGCCCGACAGTGATCCTCCACGCTATGAGTTCCTGTGGGGTCCAAGGGCCTACACTGAAACCACCAAGACGGAAGTCCTGAAGTCCTGAAGTCCTTATGGCCAAGATCAATAATACTGATCCAAGTGACTTTCAGTACCCATATGAGGAGACTTTGAGAGATGAGGAAGAACGAGCTCAAGTCAGAATTGCAGCCATGGCTGGCACTACTGGCCCAGAAAGGGTCCACTCCAGCACCACCACATCCAGCAGCTTCCCACCCCAGAGAAGTCTGAAGTAGTCTTCACTTTGAGGTTGAAAAGGGCTATCAACCTTATAGGTAGTTGGGGAGAGGGGGCTGTAAAGGCCACACTTTTATCTTCTTCATGTTCCTATTATTCATAAGTAACTTGTAGGGTTTTTTTTCTATTTGCCATTGTATTTCTTTTAAAGAGATTTATTTAGATCCAGAATCTAAGTTTATAAATGACTTAGATTGCACAATTACTAATGTTCATTAAGGTTAAGATATATGGTTTTGTATCTAGTAAAACAAATGAAAAATCTTTGCATCTTTGTTGTGATCTAGTACAAGAAACCTTAGTATTGGAATAAGGATTTGCTTTACCATGAAAAAAACACACACTCAAAAACAAATCCAGAATGAAATAGTTGGGATCACAGGATGGTAGGGGGAAGAAAGTAAAAGATAGCCAATTCTTGGTTTTGTCTTATTCCTTTTAGTCTTTTGCTAAAATTAAAAGACATATACATGAATTTGCTTAGTTTATTCAAGAACGTGGGAGAAATTAAAATAATCCTAAAACAAGAATTCTTGTTTACTGACTCTTTTGTTCTGCAAACATGAGTTGAGCATCTGCTCTTCAAAAGGCTTCATGCTACTTCCAGGGATGCAGAGACTAAGAATCCCCAGCCTCTGCTAATGACATTTTAGAGTCCAAAACCAGCCAGTACATAAGGACATGGTAAAATACACTCTGACACCTGAAGGGCAATACAAGGAAGGGGAAGGAGGGAGGAGATTCCAGATAGGAGCAGCCTGATGTTAATGACCTGAGACAGAGTGGGTTAAGAAGCAGGGATGGTAATTTTTAGTTACCCTGCATGGTCAGGGGAGTACCTGGATGGGGCTGTTGAAATGCTAAGCAGAGGCCAGACCCTGAGATGGTGAGTCTCAGAGTGGAGAGAATATGCCTCCAATGGAAAACTATTCCTTACAAACCCCAGGGATGTGGTAAACCAGAGGGAAATCCCCACCTAGGGCTGGATGGAAGGACTCCTGCACTCTGCCCCTGTGCAGGTGAACACGGCACACTAACTAGATGTTTTGTGCCTTTTGTGTCAGGAACTTCCTGAGAATAAGGTGATACTCCCTTGAGGTGGGGTGCTCAGAGCCACTGGGCTGGCCTTCCTTGCCCAGCCTGGAGAAACCAGACTGCTCCATTGAAAGGGAACCTGAAGTAGGTATTCTTCTGCACATATGGCAAACTCTAAGCCAGGCCATATTTTTGATGATGGTGACATCAACAACAATAGGGATGGGTTAAGTACAAGGGCAGTGGGGAGTGAGGAAAGCTGTTGCTCCTTTGCACACCTTCTAGGAGTTTTGTGGTGCATCTGATGGGAGGTCTACTTCATGCTCACATCCAATGACTGATCATCCAGTGGGGAAATATCACTTCATTTTATTTACTAAGCAGAATTTTTGCTGATTTGGTTTTCCTTGAGCTAGAAATATGTGTTCTCTGACATTTCATGGATTGAAAAAATATTAAAATTCCCATCATGTAGTGCATGATATTGACTAAGGTTGAAATAATCATAATAACTGCTATATAAAACAAACAAAAAAACCCTCAATACTCGCCAGGCACTGTGCCAAGTTCCCAGCATACATTCCATGCAGCCATCAGTCCTACAATATGGGACTTATCAAATGTGCTTCACAAATGAAGAACCTGAGGCTCATAGAGTTGGCTAATGTGCACGAGTGCACACTGCTAGTAAGTGGCCGGGCCAGGACTATACCCATGGCCTGAACCCATCTAAAGCTTACACTACCCTACTCCTCCAAGCTTGAGACAGATCTCATAATTCACATTTCTTTTTACCACCCCAAGCTGTATCTCAGGCCATAGAAGAGGACTCTGTGAACAAACTATTGGATTGAAATACACAACAAGGGTAATACAAATGTCAAAATAAGTGGGTGATATGTAAAAGAAAAAGGAAATATTTGTGGTAATATAATGTTTACCTGTAAAGTCAGATCACCTCAAAGATTGCGGTGCACTAAATAATTCTGCTCCATCCCTTCCATGTATAAATTCCATCTTCTAGAACTAATTTCCATCCAGAGGCTAAGTCTGGCTGGTGAAGACAAGGAATAGATCAGCTGGCTTTTATCTCTGACAACCCACCACCTTTTCTAGGCCCCCTGCCCAGGTTTTTTTGTAGTTTCTCTTTTGCTGATAGCCTCATACAGCCTTGGCCAGATGTGGCTTACCCTGGCTTTGCCTTCAGAAGTTTCAGAAAGGTGAGAACCTTGGTCTGAGGGCTGCAGACTCAGAAAAGTGGAGGATGCAGTTCCAGGACTAATTAGTCAGGTAGCTAGGTGAGGACCCTGAATGTGGATTGAAGGGACCATCCCAAACATAACCAAAATGACCACCCAGTGTTCTGCCCTTGTTCTTAGCCCTGGGAGGGTGAATAGCCCTGGACTTACTTCTACCTGGAAGGAATCAGTGAGGGAAGGGCCTTGTTCTAAGAGATTGTGCAGAGGGAGGAGACCTGAGCACTAACTGGAGTCCAGGTGAGGAACACAAGTGCTAATAACCAAGGAAACCTTTTTCCAAAAGAGGGGAGATGCAGAGTTCTGCCTTTTCTGATAGTACTGGAGGCCCAGACAGGGGCAGTCAAATATGGTATGCCCCAAATTCCTTCTCACAGGGGACAGGAGATGAGAGAGGGACCTCCTTGTTTTTAAAGACTTGGACCCAGGTCAGTAGAGGGACCTCCAATGATCCACATAGCAAACCAGGGGTTGAGTTCTGATTTCAGTAGCTTGAAAAATAAGCCAGGCACACATATGCATGCCCAGAATCCTAACAGAATGAAGGAATTGAGGAAAAACACAACTGTGGCACGATAGGGTCTATTCTGGTTCTCTCTCTCTCTCTCTCTCCCTCTCCTGTGCATGCAGGTGCTCTCTGGCATAAAAACATTTACAAACATACACCCATAAATATTCCAATTATCACCTGTGCCTCTCTTTTTGCCACCTATAATTCTGATTAGATGTTTATTAGTCTTTTCATGTCATTATCCGTGTCTTTTAACTTGTCATGTTTACCTTTCTCTTTTTCATTCTGGCTGATTTCTTCATATAATTATTTCAGTTGTTATCTTTTTTTTTCTTCATATAGGTCTAATTTCCGTTGAACTTCTCTTGTAAGTTGTTTATTGTTTAGTTTTAGAATCTTTCTAATAAGTTTGGCTATTTTTCCACAGTTTTTATTGTTTCTTGCATGTATTTTTAAATTTATTCATTATTTCTTTAAATACAGTAATTATTAGCTATTTAAATAAAGGGACTTCAAAAAATTTCAAAGAAAAATATAATTGAAGTATGACTTTATTTTGGTCTTAAAAATGTGAACTCCATGCATAGCTTTTTCATTATATGTATTTTCAATGAACCATATTTTCTTTCAATTTTTGTTATTTCTTTTGCCCATTGTTAGTATTTCTTAAAATTTTTTATTTGCTAGAACCTTGGAGATTTGTAATATACTTCCTGTTATAGAGAGCATTTGCTTTTGCTTCTGTCTGTCAGCCATGAACACTTGCAAAACATATCTAAAAACCATTAGATTACTTGTTTCAGATTTTGTCAAATACCCAAGTACTATGAATTTGGGCTACTAATGCTATAAAGAGCCAACTTATAGTCATGACATCCTGAGGACAGCTCTTCTCTCTCTCTCTCTCTCATGCTCTCTCTTTTAAGATATTTTATTTTATTTTATGTTAATTTCTTTTCTACGTCTAATCACTATATATCACTTTGCTTGTAAAGTGAACTCTCCAACATGAATATACTTCATACCAGTCCAGTTGGGGATACTATATATGTTATCATCAACAGATAATAATCCATTTCTGTGTGAGACATCTTACTCTCTTTTTAATACAAAAGTTCAGAGATCAATTTTCATCGCTATTTCATGAAACCGTAGCCCTTTGCACTCCTAAGGTCTTGACTGGGGCCTTCTATTAAACGCTTCCTCTTAGGAAGGTCTTGGCTTTCTTCTCCAGAATTGATATCAAACAGTGCGAGACTGCAGTTCAAGTTCATCTGGGTTTGGCCAGAAGACTCAATGATAAGTCTGCTTTGATACTCCACTTATGTCTCTGGATTTCCAGTTTCACTCAATTTATTACCAATGTTATTCATTTCTTTCTTGCCAAATTTCAACTCTTTTAATATTTTTTTAATCTAGTGTGTCAAATTGTTGTCAGCAGGAGGTTCAATCTGAAAACTTCCTGTCCTGTTATTAGAAACCAAAGTCCAGAGGCAATATATTTTGTATAATTATTCTATAACTGATTACTTTTCTATTTTAACATCTATCATGTAGTCAATGAATATAATTAAATATTCTCAGCTTCACACGTCTTTATTTCCCTGGAGAAGCAAAGACAGAAACAGAGAATTATATTTATTCTAGCACTCAGGAAAAGATGGCATCCTGTTTCATCCTTGCTCATCTCACATGACAGGAATGAAAATCATGAATGGACTGGGTCCATACAGAGCCTCTATCACTTTTTCATTCTCTTCCTCAAACAATATTAAGCAGTGATCAGACTGTGTCTGCCATAACTTAAGCCCTCTTCTTGTGAGATTTCCACCCTCCCACTCCCACAACCCATGTTCAAGTGTGGGTGACTTCTTCATTTTTTTTCACCATCAGAAAGGAAATGCTCAGTGCTTCTCAACTCATGGCAATTTTGTTCTCTGTTTCAGGGCACATTTAGCAATGTCAGGAAACATATTGTCACACTAATGGTAGGGGTGCTACTAGGATCTAGTGGATAGATGCCTGGGATGTTGCTAAACAGTGCCCCACAGTAAAGAATTATCTAAACCCAAATGTCTACAGTGTCAAGGTTGAGGTATTCTGGGAATTATGAACCCAGAACAATTTGCATATGTGAGGATGACTTCCTCAAAGAATGTAAATGGCACAAAATAAGGGCTACATTATCAGTCAGATG